CCTCGGATGGGCGGCGAATTGACCGCAAACGCGTCAATGATACGCCTTTCTTCCTCATTAAGCTCCAGCAGAGTCACCAGCGGAAGGTCTCCACGTAGTTTTCAGTGAGTCATATCGATCTATGCATGGTACTCGATCTCAGTTACTCTCTGCAGGGAAACGGAATTTACAGAGATTTATAACCTCCCAAAAAAAGGGAAATACGAGGGTAAAGCCATTAACACGAAGTCGACCACACATGCTACTAAGTATCAGGAAAAATTGAGCTGAAAATGGGTGTACGATTGTATAAAAAATAGACTCTTGAAGAGCATTCACAAACTGAACTATTCAAAAATGGTACCTCGTTTTCTTCCATTTTTGTCTGGTCACCACCCTTCACAATCGGCACTGTTTTTCCAGCATGAATCCTGCAAGATAATGTGTGTGCGAGTAGACGAAGTTAAGTTTTGAACATTTCTGTGCGCGTTCGGCTTGGTGGGGGCACGAAATGATATTCAATGAAGCGTCAACAGTCCTGCATTTACAGTCCTGGAAGCCTGCAAATGCCACCAAGATGGCTCATTCCTACCAGTTCACAAAAGTTTCACAAAAGTTTTTAGATTTTATCAAAGCAAGACGCTTTACTCGACATGAACTAGCAAAAGAAACTAGCAGAAGTGCAAAATGCTTCCCCACTAAGCCGAACAGCGCTTGTTTTCTGTGAAATCTGTCTGTTTCTACTGGAAATTGAGCTTAAGGACCTACTTCAACAGCTAAGCAACTTTACTTTTTTAGGCAACCATGACATTACACTACTAACTTTTAGCCGACAACTCACCGGTAATTTCCAATCGAGTGTCCATTCAGATTCCGAATTGGCTTCACAGTGTATGTACGTCCATCAAGTTCTACTTCATGTGACGTCATAACCTGAACATAAACATATTGAGTCTGAAGCTTTTTCCTCTGAAAACATACAATTGGTGAGTGCATAAAAAAATCGCAGTACGGGGCTGATGGAGCCAGTCTAATTTGTCGTGAGTAACGGTATTCACCCTGTAGAAGGCCTACCTCTTCGATAGTCTCTCCCAGATCGCACAACCTCACGTCTATCCCAGCTTCACGAATTCCGGCAT